GGGGTCTCTGTCTGCTGACTTTTGGGGGTCTCTGGGGCTCAGGGGGGGAGTCCTGAGGGTGCCCCCCAAAGTGCGGAGGGGAGATGTACCACATCCGGGTAAGGGGATCCCAGTGCCCCCGTTATATCCCAGTAACCTCCCACTGACTCTCAGTACATCCCAGTAATCCCTTCAGTGACTAGCCAGTGTGTCCCAGTGACCTTCCAGTGCCCCCTAGTACGGCCCAGTGATGCTCCAGAGAGCACCCAGTAACCCCCAGTATGGCCCAGTAACCTGCCAGTGTCTCCTTGTGTGTCCTGGTAATCCCCCAGTAACTCCCCAGTTCTCTGCCAGTGCCCCCCAGTGTGTCCCAGTATCCCCCAGTAATCACCCAGTGCCCCCCAAAGCCCCCCAACTGTCCCCAGCATGTCCCCAGATGCCCTTGGCCTTTCTGTGAGTGCGATGAGGGGGCGTTTTTGTGGTCAGAGGGTCCAGGGGGGCTCCTGGAGTGAGATGGAGGGTTGGGGACATCAGGGATGGGGTTTGGGGACAGTGGGGAGGGGTTTTGGGACAGTGGAATTGGGGGTGTCAAGGGGGGAATTGGAAACACCAAAAGGGTCTTGGGGACACCAGGGGGGTCTCAGGACTGACTTGCTTGTAGGGAAGCCCCTCCTCTCCCCCTCTAGGCCCCATTAACCTCCTCAAATGTCCCCCAACTCCCCTTTTTTTCTTTTAATCCCCTCCCCCCCAGATACCTTTGACCCACCAATGCCCACAAGATTCTTTTAACTCCCCCAAATGCACCCAAGGCCCCCAAAACACCCCAAATCTCCATCCAACCCCTCCAAATTTCTCCCAGCTCCTCCTTCAAATCCCTCACAACCTCCCCCAAAGAGGGATCACCCGGCACCCTGGGACAGGAACACAGTGGGCTGTACTGGGGGCACTGGGCTGTACTGGGAGAGCACGGGGGGGGGGCTCAGGTGTCCCAGGACAAGGTGGCCCAGCTCCAGGAGAGATCTGGGGAGCAGTGAGGAGGTACTGGTCTGTCCTGGTCTGTATTGGTCTGTGCTGGTCTGTACCCCCAATCCCCAAAGCCCCTCCCCAGCTCCCCCAGGACCCTTCCACACCCCAATGTCCCCCAGGTCCCCCCAGGCCCCTGAGTTGGTCCTGCTGCCCCTTGAGCATCTGCAGCTGCTGCAGAACCAGGCATTTCATCAGCAAATGTGCAGGTGACACCAAGCTGGGTGTGTGTTGATGTGCTGAAGGCAGGAGGGCTCTGCAGAGGGACCTGGCTGAGGAAGAGTGTGTCAGCAGGAGCAGGGCAGTGATTGTTGGGCTGGAGTGAGCGCTGGTGAGGCCACCCCTGGAGTGCTGTGTCCAGCTCTGGCCCCTGAGTTGAGGAAGGCCCTGGAGGGGCTGGAGCAGGTGCAGAGAAGAGCAGCGAGGCTGGGGAAGGGAGTGGAGCACAAGTGGGGTGAGGAGAGGCTGAGGGAGCTGGGGGTGTTGAGGCTGGAGAAGAGGAGGCTCAGGGGAGACCTCCTGACTCTCTGCAAGTCCCTGCCAGGAGGTTGTAGCCCGGTGGGGGTGGGGCTGTTGTGCCAGGAAGCAGCAGTAGGACAAGAGGGCTGGGTCTTGAGCTGTGCCAGGGGAGGTTTAGGTTGGATACTGGGAAGCAATTTTTTGCTGAGAGAGTCATCAGGCCTTGGAATGGGCTGGGCAGAGAAGGGGTGGAGTCAGCGTCCCTGGAGGTGTTGAAGGTGAGAGTGGATGTGGCCTCAGTGCCATGGTCTGGGAAGCACGGCGGGGTTGGATCCAGGGTTGGACTTGATGATCTCAGAGGTCTTTTCCAATGTGGCTGATTCTGTGATTCTCTGATTCCCATTCCTATGGCAGCACATGCTTGAGGCTCCATCTCCAGGGTGATAGAGATGTCTGTCCATGTCTATCTGCAAGGTTAGTCTGTAAATGTGTGGTGTTAGAAAAGCAGGCTGAGTTCTGGGCTGGTTGTAGAAGGAGAAAGAAGCCCAGAGGCCAGTGCAAGCAGGCAGCCCTGAGCTTGCACATGATGTCCCCTCCCTGCAGGTTCCTGTCCTTGAGCCCAGGCCCTGAGGTGAGGCTGAGAAGTGGCACGGAGGTGAGGCCAGAGCTGTCCCTGAGGTGAGGCTGAGAATAAGTGCAAGGCAGAGGTGCTGCTGAGGAAGGAGAGCCCTGTGGTGGGGAAGAGGACGAAGCTGTGCATGCCCATCCCCGAGAAGGTGCTGTGTCCATCCCCTGTGTGCCAGGTGAGCTGGGGCTTTGCTGCAGAGCTGCGGGCGCTGATTTGAGCCGCTGCAAGTGCTGAGATGGTGGCACCCAGGAACACAAACTGTGCCTGGCCACGGAGACTGCAAGGAGGAGCAGAGACAGCCCTGGCAGTGTGGGGGGCCAGGTTGTCCCTGTGCCTTCCCCTACAGGCCTTGCCTGTCCCTGCTGGGCCCCTGTCCATTTTCCCCCTCAGTTCCCTGCACACCTACTCTCTGGAACTTGACTCCCTGCAGACTTTGCAGGGAAATCTGTGCTGGCAGCTGCATCCTGAGCCTGAGGGCAGTTTGTATCCCCGAGTGCTGCTCCAACCTGGGGACCCAAGGGATCCTCTGCTATTCCATCCATGCAACAGGAGTCACCCTGCTGCTCTTGACTCCCTGCAGAGGAACAAGTGCCATTTCTCTGTTTGGGAGATGCCAGATGCTGCCCCTGGGCCATCAGAAGTGGTGCTGAAACCTCTTTCAGCCCAACCCTGGGTGCAGTTTTCTCATCCCCTCACCGAGTGCCCGCTCCCCCAGCTGGCACTGACCAACCAGGGTGTTTGGCACACTTGGTTTGGTGGTTTGGAGAAACAGCCCCGGACTGGTAGGGGGCCAGATGACCTCGAGGAACAGCCCTGGCGAGTTTTAAGTGATACTACATTAATACAGCTTTTGATTAATATATGGGTTGTACCCCTGGGCGCGACCCTTGTGGGAGAGAGGAGAGACAGGGGGAGCCTTGCCGGCAGGTACTGCACCTCCATGAAAGAGGAGAAGGAAGCTTCGGAGCACACAGAGGTTTGGCGTTCCAGGGTGGGGGGGGGAGGGTTTGGGTGAGGGGGAGGATTAGCGTGGTGTGTCAAGCGGGCCATGAGGGGCTGCCGACCAGCAGGAGGGAGAGCGGCACAATCCCGTATGAAATGTCGCAGGTGAGTAGTGTGCCTGAAGATATGTGGAAACACAGTGGGGGAAGGATAAGGTCAGGGTGGATAGTGGGTTCTTTTAGAATAATGGGGGTCCCCGCCAGGCTGGGGCCAATAAAAGGCACCCCCACCTGGATGGGTACTGGGGTCAGAATGTTTTGCTTTGTTTGTTCTGTCTGTCTGGTTTTGGTTCTCCTGTGGCTACTGCCCAGGTTCGGCATGTTCTGGATATACTTGCTTTACTCTGTTACATCCTGAAACGGTGGACAGGACAAAGGGTTGTCCCTGGGTACCTCCTTCAGTTTGTTTATAGGTAGGTGATAATAAAGCAGGAAATGAAAGACTTGCCCAAAGCGTTCTAATAGGAACATAGTCTCTGTACCCCTGTGTGGTTGCAAGCTGTATGGTACATGCCTCCAGTAGGGTCACCCATGCCAGACAGATCAAAACCGTAGGACCAGATTTAATACATTCTTGGGCAGGATGAGCTCATTAGCCTCCTGGCAGTCATCCTAGGAGAAGGACAACTCCAGTCCCAAACCCGGGCAGATGGAGCTCGCTTAACCCTGTAAGGCCATCCATCTAAGAGAAGGTCACTCTAATCAAACCTACGTCCTGAGGACCTCACTGCCACCGTCAAAGCTCGCTCGACCCTGGCAGATGAACCTTAGGATTAAAGGGTGGGTTCAGTTCTGCACACAATGTGTCTCGCCTAAAAATCCATTGCGCAGGCTTGATTATAGTAAGTCAATATATAGTAAGTCAATCAACTGCTCATGAAATGACATCACTCCCTTCATCCTCCTAAATAAACACCATTTTTTTGGTCTGAATCTTCGTATTTTGGAGTATTTTTGGTTGAATCCTTACTTTTTGCAGTTTGTGAGGGGGTTCATCTTGCTGTTTCTGAAGGGTTTTTTGCCTGAATCTCAATGGTTTGGGTTTTTCTGGGCTGAATCTTGGTGTTTTGGAGGTTCTTATGGTCACAGGATGCCCGGTGAGTTCTAGAGATGGACTTGGGCTGGAAGAACCCCCAAACCAACGTGCTCAGCCCTTGTTTTTACCGCCATCAGGATTTGTCCTTCCCAAAGCTTGGGCAGATGGAGGAGGAGGCTGTGAGGAAGAGGAAGATGCCTTGGACCCCCCAGTCAGGTGAGGAGGAAGTCAGTGGCCCTTTGGGCGGGTGTTGTGCTGGCTCTGTCAGCTGAGCATGGCCCCGGCTGCAGGACAACCCCGCTGCCGCCGCCGTCCTGCCGGGGCCGGAGTTGGGGGGATGTCCTTGGCCTTCCCTGTGGGCCAGAGGCAAATCCCCTCCCTGTCCTTCTTGCTTCCTGCCCCAGGCCCCGAGCTGAGGACGGAGAGCCCGGAGGACAATTCCCCCCGTGAGACCCTGTTGGGAGAGGCCATTTTGAAGGGCTCCCTGGCGCAGGAAGGCAGCGGGGAGGAAAAGGGCCGGAGATCCCCCCGCAGGAGGGGCTCCAAAGCCATCCCAGGGTGCTCTGAGGAGGAAAGACCCAGCCTGTGCTGGGAAGGCGGCCGGAGCTTGAGGGGGAGCTCTTACCTGGTGATCCCTGATCAACCTCCCAGCAGGGATAAGCCCTTCAGGTGCTTGGAATGTGGGAAGAGCTTCAGGGACAGCTTCAACCTGCTCCGACACCAGCACATCCACACTGGGGAACGACCGTACACATGTGGGGAGTGTGGGATGAGCTTCAGGAACAGCTCCGGCCTGCACGTGCACCGTCGCATTCACACCGGGGAACAGCCCTACACGTGTGTTGAGTGTGGGAAAAGCTTCAGGATCAGCTCCAGCCTACGGTCCCACCAGCTCATCCACACTGGAGAACGGCCCTATAAGTGCTTGGAATGTGGGAAGGTGTTTCAGACCAGCTCAGATCTCTTGAAGCACAAGCCGACACACACAGGGGAGTGGGCCTTCCACTGCACCGACTGTGGGAAGGGCTTCAACCGGAACTCCACCCTTGTCACCCACCGGCGCATCCACACTGGTGAGAGGCCCTACAAGTGTGGGGAGTGTGGGAAGGGGTTTACACGCAGCTCACATCTCATCCAGCACCAGCAGACTCACACGGATGAGAGGCCCTTTCACTGCACCGACTGCGGGAAGAGCTTCAACCAGAACTCCAACCTCATCACCCACCGGCGCATCCACACTGGTGAGAGGCCCTACAAGTGTGGGGAGTGTGGGAAAAGCTTCACCACTAAGTTTGGCTTGACCCAACACCAACGGACCCACCGGTAAAGGAAGCCCCGACTACAGGAAGAGCTTTGGCCACTGCTTTCATCCCAAATGAACCCCCTGATAGTGAGACAACCCCTGGAGTCCATTGACTGTCACTCCATCCCTTTTGACCAGAAATGGCCAGTCCCCTTTCCCAGGGGCAGGTTCTTCCAATGGAACCCTTCTTGGGGGATGTGTGTGCAGATTGCTGCCTTGGCTGGGGGCCCCTGATACCAATTTGTGCCCCAAAGAAGGAGTGGAAGAACTGCTCAGAGACAGAATTTTCAGTCTATAAGCAGGAGGTATTTATTTTATGGTGGGGGAGCAACCAGGTCGCCCTGGACACACTGCTCTCCTCGAGAAACTTACAATTGAGCTTTTTATACACTTTTTGCCAAGCAATTACATCACATATTATGAATATTCATTATCTTGCAACATCTACTTTTAATATTCATAACAGGTGGAGTCAAGGTGGAGTTTGAGGCGTGGTCTCTAATTTGGGGAGAACTTCAGTGGTCGTTCCTGTCTTTCTTCATCATGAACTCGGTGTCCTTTCATCATCATCTTCATAAACTTTTGAACCTTCCCTAATTTGGGTAGTTTCCTTGTGCATTTGGCAAGGATTTTCAGTATCTGGCAAGAGTACCTGATTTCTTGGCTTGTCCCTTTTCTTATCTCCTTTTGTTTTTCTTCCATATGTCCTTTTTTGTGTGTGCTAGCATTTTTAGTTCTTTCTGTTCATGCTTATGTTCTCTCATGTCAGAGTGTCCTGTATTCTAGTGAATTTATTGCCTCTGCTAATTCTTAATACTAAGTTCTCTATGCTTTGCTTAAAGCCTGCATTTTAACTTTCTAATCCTTACATTGCTCTACTAAATTCACTTTCCAGGTTTTACCTGGCTTCACTCCCCAAGGTCACTCCTCGAGACTGGGAGCAGAGATCTCCCCCCGAGCATTGGTCTGGGGGAGTTCCATCCGTCTCTAATTAAGAATTATTGCTTTTGTGCTAACTTGAGTAGAATTGCTTCAACAATTGCTTTAGTGTAGAGCACTGTCCTATCTTATCCTGTACTTCTGGTAGTTTCAGTATGTATATTGTGCAGTAAATAATTCTGATGAAGATCTTTAGTCTGATCATTTGTAACCCTAAATAATTCATTTCTATCAATAAATCTGATTTTCCATCATTAAAACTTGGGAAACAAAAGTTGTTCAGTCACAGCTCTGTAATTCCTGTAAACTGAAACTGTTGACATAAAGCAAGGCTGAGATTGGATCCAGCAGCCCTCAGCACCCCACAGTAAGTTGGGAGGTCAGGGGGACTAGCCCTCTTTGCCAGCCCTCCTTTGCCCAAAGACCCTCATGGGACTGTCAGACCCACCAGACCACCCCCCCCTTTTCCCCCCTTCCCCCCGTTCCCTCCCCCTTTTCATGGTCCCCCCCTCCCCCGCCCCCCCCCCCCCCGATCAGTTTAGAGGTCCTAACCCCTACTTTTTCCCCCCTCTCTCACCAATTCTGTATCATCTCTCCAGTCCCCAGCCCTCTCATGCTCAGTTTGGGGTCCCACCACCCCTTTATCCCCTCTGACCCCCGCTTTTCCCAGTGACCTCCCCGTTCTCACCCCCTGTTCACCCGAGAGCTCCTCGCCCACAGCAGGGGGGGCTCCCAGCACCACCAGTGCCCAGAGAAGTCCCCTCAGAAAAGGGGTTTGGTGGGGTCCTGGGTGGACTTGAGTGGGTTTGAGTTTTTAGGGGGGCTATGTGGAGGTTTTGGGGTGAGCTGGGTGCTTTATTGAGGGGCAGGTGCCCTCCCAAAGCCCCTCCAGAGCAGGTTGACATTGGGGGAATATGGGGGGGTCCCAATTCCCCATCTATCCTGGGGCCAGATTCTGTCCCCCCCCAAACTCGGCTCCACCCCTTGGGATTCCCCCAAGCTCCTCCCCCAGTATCCCCCAATAAGCGGGACTGGGGAGAACTGGGAAGCTTTACTGGGATCACTGGGAGCAGCCGGGTGGAGGCAGAGTGACAGCAGAGGAGGGGGGGACACACGAACCCCCCAAAATCCTCGCAGGGTTGGGGTGGGTCCAGGCTGGACCCGAGGCCCCGGGGGGGGGGCTGCAGCCACCGCCGGCTCAGGAGCTCTGTGGGGAGAGAAAAGGGGGTGACACCAGGGTGGGGGGTCCCCGGGGGGGCGCAGACGCTCTGGGGGGACACACGACCCCCTGGGACCCCCCTCCCCTTCTGGCACAGGTAGAAACCGAGCCCCAGCGCCAGGGAGACGAAGCCCAAGAGGAAGCCCCCGGCCCCTCCTTGGCAGCAATTCCTCAGGCTGATGGAGCCCAGCAGGGCCGGGGCCGCCGGCGGTGTCCGATCCCGGCAGGAAGCGGGGAGGGCCCAGCGGGGTCTGATAGAAATAAATCAAGGCAGATCTCCCTCTTTCTTTTACCCCCCAAGCAGTGACCATCAAGAGCTGTCCCTGCTTCACAGTAGAAGCTCCACACACTTCAACAAGAAGTGTCTGTGGAAGAATCTGCTCTAGGAAAGTTGGCCCTGGGCTTTTATGCTTATCCAGTGATGGATGGCCAGTCACATCTTCCCAGGCCAGTGAGCAGCTGATCTGTCAAACTCTGCTTCCAAAAGCAGGATGTGTGTTGGAAGATTGGGGAACCAGGCTGGGTTTGGCACAATTCAACACTAAACCAGCCCCTTGGCACCAGCAGTAACTCCCCACAGAGAGCTTGCAGTGCTTGCATTCTCCCATCAGATCCTTTTCCAGGTAGAACATCCTGCTACAAGGGGTCTGTTACTACCCACCCCAGAAACGGGGGGGTAACCAGATTCTTATTAATAAATCCCTTGAGGTGGATTAGATTGAAATGAAACTAAATAATCAGTGTTTGAAAACATATATATGTAGGGTTTATTTTAGAACAATTTTGTTTCAAAGCTAAACAGGTATATTACCATTTTGGGTGTTATCATCTCTATCTCTCATCTACAACAATATGGCATGAAGAGAACCTTTAGGGAAAATGCATAAGGGAAAGGCAGGATAAGGGTAAGGGAGAGTAAGGGAAAGCAAAGCTGAGAGCGGAAAGATGTCTATAGTCACCGCCCACGGGGTCCAGAGATGGAACTTGGGAGTTACAGCTCCAATGTCTGTCAGTTGAAGTGGTGGCCTTGATCCGTTGGGGGTGGGGGAGGGAAGCCCCCACACTCCAAGAAGTTATGAGTTATTATGTCCATGGACAGTGTCCTGGGCCATGCCTCGAGCCTCCAAGGTCTGCTGGGCCTGCGCAGAGTTCCCGTGAGGGGCCTGGTAAACACGGCTCTTCTCGCCTTTTCAGGGCTTGACACCTTCAGCAGCACTGGCAGGAGGGATGAGTCCAGCTGCCTCTTCCCAGCCTGCAGAAGTCCCCTGGCAATCCTAGAATGCATAAATCATTGTGGCAGTTTAAGACCCTCACAAGTCCAATTTCCAAGTCCAAGCCCCCCCCATTTGTTTCAGTGTGAGAGGGTTTTCAGACAAAACACAGCTGAGTATGGGGGGAAGGGAATTATATTACAGTTTATTACTTACACAAATAAATACTATAATACATTATATACACAATTCTAACTCTCTCTCCTATGGAAAAGCAATATATTTACATTAGATCAAATCCCTCCTTTCCCTCCAATAAAAGTCCTGAAGGGAAGATGAAAAGATCCTTTCCACTTTCAGGGCAGCAGTGTCTCTCCTCTTCAAGGCAGCAGTCGTAGCTGGATTTGTCATAGCTGGAAAATCTCTCTCTCTCCATTACAACTCAGGGGGCTTCTCTCACCCCTCAGCCCTTCGGCTCCAGCCGACGGTCTCTCTCCCGTGGACTATGAAAGCAGGGACAAGTCTCGCCTCTCCACAGTCACCTCTAGGCACCCCTGACAGTCCCTTCCTCAGGGGATTCAAGTTCCTCCTGAGTCAGAACGTTTAGGGCTTTCAGTTCAGTTTCTGCCCCAAGCGTTCTAGCAGAGCTCCTTTGCTCCATCTCAAACTGTCAGCATGGTGAAGGGGGGCAGGAAGGCCTCTTCCCCCCTCCACATTCCTCCTGGCTGTCCTGGTCCAGCTCCAGGACATCTCTGAGCTTCTCAGCTTCTCTCTCTCTCTCTCTCTAGTTGCTGCTGCATTTCAGGACTCCCTTCAAGTGGAAGTCCACCCCCTCCTTCCAAGAGGGGTCTCAAAGGGTTTGGAGAAATAAAGCCAGGCTCACCCCAAACAGTCTCTGCTGAGCCTGGTGCTCTGTCTCTCTGTCGGGCATCTCTGTGTCTCTCAGCTTGGCTCTGTGCCACCTCGCTCCTGCTGACTGTCTTCTTGGCTTTCAGCCACAGCTCTCTGTTCGGTGCTGTCTCTGCCGCCGCTCCTGCTGCCCACTCACAGTGGAGAAAATCTACCTTGGCTCTTGGCCACAGTACTCGACTCAGTTTAACACTGTTCCGAGTTTCTACAGCCCCAGCTGGGGGTGTTGGGGGGTCTTGGCCCCCAGCGGGGCTCCCTGACCCCTCTCTCTCCTCGTGGTCTCAGACCATGGCTGCTGCTCTTCTTTCAGCTACGTAATCTCTTCTTTTCCTGTTGTGATATGTTTAATTTTGCAGGGGTGCTGATTGGGTCAACACCAAGAATACCACCTGCTGGGGTTAACCACTTTCCAGCTCCAGGGGAAAACCCTTTTTAACCCAGGACAGTCATGAACCATTTCAGTCTCTGACACTCCTCACCTTGGCCAGTCAGTTCCTGGGAACAGCCCTGGCAGCGCAGCCCCCAAGGGCACACGATGTGCTGCTGTGCTGGAGAGGACCCTCCTCAGCCTGGGCAGTAGGGCTGCGGGGGGGGATTCCCTGCCCCTCCCCAGCTGGGCCCACCAGCTCCTGCTCCAAAGGGCTCCCACACACCCTGGGGCACTTGTCCCACTTGGGCACTTGAGCTGCCCCAGGGCATCTCTGGGCAGTGGCCAGCTCTGGGACTGCTCTGGCAAGTCATGGCCTGAAGCCACGAGTGTGGAATTTAGGAAATAGTTGAAACCTCTGCAGAACAGGACTCTTGATAATTGCTGAAGGCTTCCTGGTCAGCATTGCTAGACCTTATTTTTTAAATTTTTTTTATTTCAACAATTTTTCTCTATTTGTTTTCATTGACAACACCTTCTATATATTATGTTGAGCTGATTCTTTCATTGTGTACATGAA